ATTTTAAACCAAAAGGGTTTGCATAAGGATTTTTTTCTACAAAATACATACCATTGCAAATATATTAACTCGATTTACTCAGAATCTAGAATGAGAAGAGTATGCTTAAAAACTCACCTATATTGTCATTTTATATTGTATTATATAAAACTATTTATCTTATAGAATTTAAAACATGGAAAAGAAATATTGAAAAAGAGGATCTGTCTTTCTTTGTTGTTCAAAGGGTGGTTGGAAACAAAACGTATTACGTTTGTCACAGATCAGGTTCTTCCCGAACAACAGGTTCAGGAAAGAGAATGAAATGGTCACAAACATTCAAAACTGGACAAGATTTGTCCTGCTGGAATGACGACAACTAATGTTGATGGTCACATAACAGTAGAATTTAGAAGAACCCATGTTGGCCATACATTAAATATGAAGTTCTTACATTTATCAAAAGAAGAAAGAGATGAACTGGCTGGAAAAATTAAATCAGGTGTGACTTTTGAACGGATTTTGGACGATATTCGAAAATCTGTAACTTCAACAGAAAGTGTCAACCGTTTCCATGCTGTGGACAAACGAGATTTACATAACATTAAAAGAGATTATGACTTGGACAGAGACATTGTACACACAAATGACGCTTTTAGTACAGAAATATGGGTGCAAGAACAAATGTTACTCAAAGAAAAGTCACCAGTAGCATATTTTAAAATGCAAGGATGTGAGAAAGAAGGTCCACTATTGAAAGACGATTTTATGATTGTAATAATGACACCTTATCAAATAGATGTTTTGTCAAAATATGCAACTGGCAGAATTTGCGTTGACAGCACCCATGGAACAACCAGTCATGACTTTCAGCTCACAACATTACTTGTAGTTGATGAATTTGGAGCTGGTTGCCCAGTTGCATTCTGTTTAAGCAATAGAATTGATACAGTGGCTATGTCTAGATTTTTTTTGTCTGTAAAAGAAAAAGAAGGTTTAATTACTACTAAAGTTCTTATGTCAGACGATACCTCAACATACATTAATGCCTGGTCTAATATAATGTCAAACCCAGATTATCACTTACTTTGCAACTGGCATGTAGACAGAAGTTGGAGAAAAAATCTTAATAAAATTAAATCTCTAACTAAGCAGTCGGAAGTGTATAAAGCTTGTCGTACATTGATGGAAATTTTGGATATTGATCAGTTTCAGAATTCCTTAGAGTGCTTTCTTGCAATGTGTGAAGATGACGACGAAACAAAAGACTTTGGGATTTACTTTAAAAATTATTACTCTCAACGACCCAAAGCATGGGCATTTTGTTACAGACTTGATCTATCGTTGAACACAAACATGTACCTGGAAGCAATGCACAAGAAATTAAAATATTGTTATATGCATGGTAAACAGAATAGAAGAGTTGACAAATGCATCAGTTTACTTTACCCAGTTGATAACTTGTTGA